TTATTTATCAGCTATTAATTACTTTTTAATATCTTCCCTTCTTACTGCTAGAATGGCTAAAACTAATACAAAGTTTGAATTTTTAAAAGTCATTAGGACAAATGTTTTAAATGTTTAAAAGTACCGTCCCTAGTAGTCAAATAATTATAAAATCTATTTATTTAATAAATATCAAGATGAAAATTTTTGGGACCAGTATGAGCAAAATAAACTTCGAAATCAAAAACTTATTTTCCTATAGAATTAAATAGAATTACATATAATTTAAATATCAGCGATAGTGTAAAAATAGAAACAGAAGAAATTGAATCCAACCAACCACAGATATCCCAAGTTTGATGAAGTTCACATTAATAGCCGACTAAAATTTAAAAAACCATTTATCATTTTTTACCATTGTTTGGAATTTTTTCATTTTTCATATCTACATCAAGTAATCGTATTAATGCTGATTCTATTATTCCAACATAAGAAACTGTTTTTCTATTGCCATCTGGATAAATATTGATGGCTAAATCACAAAGGATATAAAAAAACTGCCAAAAATATAGTGGTTCGAATGGATCATGTGCTGAGTTGAAAAGGTATATTTTATTTGCATCTGTAAAAATTAAAAAAAAATTATCATACTTAGTGATTTTTTATCATAACTCCCTCAATTACTTACAGAATAAATATATTTAAACATTTTTTTTTTTTTTGTTATCTTAAGTTACACATTATTCTTGAATTATTAACTATGTAATAATTTTTAAGTTCATCCCTTATGCCTTGTCCCTTACAAGACATAACTTTGTACAACAGGTAGCTAATTGGTTTTTATGACATCAATATTCGCAGGTACACAGCATTGTTTTTATCAATGGTAGTAAGGCACATTGTTGTGAGTTCATAAATGCACTGACTATATAAAAAGTCTATCTAATAATAGTCATAATTGAAAAAACAAACAATCCGCGACTGTGTCAGCGATGTCATAAAAACCATTTAGCTACCTGTATTTGTAATACCTTGTGTATTATACATGTATATTAACACAAAAATTTGAAACTTAAAAAAAAAAATTGACCTCTGGACTTGTCTTCGTGGTGAAAACGGACATTAAAGTTAAAGAAAAACGTACGATTACCGTGAAAAAATTCTCGAATTAAAATTTTATATTATTAAATTTATATTGTTATAACCCTTTGGAAAAATGTATGGATGAATATTATTATGTTTTTGTAATAAATTTTTATTATCCCTTTTTCATTTGACACACTTTTTTTATAAATCGGATCATACCCCTTATACAATGGGGGTCAAAACTTTAAACATGCGTAAAATAGGACATTTAACAATTTAATTTTTGAAAGTGTTCCAGAAATATTGACACTTTTATATATATCTTAAATTAAAGCTTATGTAATATACTTTAATTTGAAAAAAAATAAAATTTGACCTCTAGATTGTTTTTATGGTAAAAATGACTACCGTATTCAAAAATGTGCTATTTTTGAGTTAAAATTCTGGGTTTTGTATTTTATTTTATTTTAAAATACATGACAAGGGGAGTACACAGATTTTCATAAATATTATACAGGGTGTTAGTAAATGCTATGTCAAGAGTAGTGGGATGATATTCAGGAAGATCTAAATATAGCAAAATCGAAAACNTATTCAGGAAGATCTAAATATAGCGAAATCGAAAACTAAAATTTCTTATCTCCAAAATTGGGGGTTTTCCGATTCTCCCACTTTAAATTTTATTTTAATAAAAAATAAACATCACAACGGTATTTCTCACGAAATTCTCATACAAATTGAGTGGTCACTCGAATTTTTGTAACTTTCGTGCCCTCTCCCGAACTTTGGGTTCAAAGTTGGAAAAAAATTTCACTTTAGTGTAACCCATCAATTTGTATTGAAATTTTACTGGGAGTTCTTTGATGCAGTTTATTTTTAGTTTAAACGATTACATAACGAGAAAACCTTGAAAAACCCTGTAATGTTGCAGAATTTATACCAGTTTTTTTTTAATATATAAATCTTATCAATTAGATAATTTTTCTTCCTTTTTTATTTTTCCTTTATGAATATATATATATATATATATTAGAAATCTTCAATAATTAAAAGAAAAATGTTATTATATTTGACACGGCCCGCGTCGCTTCGTTATACACGATGCCCCGCGACTCGTGCCACCTTTATCAGCCGTCGCCCTACTATGAGTATTTGACTGACCAACACCGCGTGTTATACGCTACGGTGCAAAGTCCAGCAAATGCCGCACGGCCGACGACGACCCGCCGCAAATGGTGCGAGAGTCTTCCTCCCGCTGTGAAAGCGACAACGTCGACAGCCGAACCGCACCCGCGCACCGTCGCCTACAACGCTGCTAACCATTTTGCCGTCCAAGGATTACGCCGAACATCGCGTCGTCGACGCCAGCGAAAGTGCCGCGATATTATGCGAAGATTATTATTACTGTGTTTATCTTTTCGGTTTGTTTTATTTTTGTTAACATAATTTGTTGTCGCTCATTTAATAAACGGCCCACGGGTCTCTACCCTCAAAACCAGTGTCGACTACATTTTTGCGACGTAAGTCGTGTCATATTATACATGGCATGTTTTTTTTCTCCTCATTTTTATTAATATNTCGGCGTATGTCTGAAAGAACACTTGTTTCATCAATATACAACACTTAAAGAGTAAATCTTATCGGAACGCGATAAATGTAATCACAACAAAAACCCCACAATAATAATATCAAAATTATTTTTTACTAATAGTCCAAATCCAAAGGTAGATTTTAAATAAATTAAATTTGTTTCCAAACTCGGGTGTAACATTTGCCCTAAAATCTATAATTTGTAAAAAATGCCCCACATTGTATAAAAAGTACAAAAAATGCCCTAAAAGATGAAAAAATGACTTAAAAATGTTGAAAAATGTCGTTAAAAAACAAAAAAAATGCATTTATAGCTAAAAATGCAAAATATAATTAGAATATTCTGCATTAAGAGAGCATGAAACAAATCTTTTAATTATAGGATCTGGTGGTAAACGCACACCTGGAGCCTCTATTTTAAACATTTCAACTCTAGTAGGCGCCTTCTTAAATACTTTTTTACAATTTGCGATTACTTTGTCAACAGTAATAAAGTGGTCACGAACCTGTTCGGCAATTTTATGTAAGCCATGTGATGCGCATGGGACATGAATAATTTTTGAGTAGAACACTTTTAACGATTTTCCAGCTTTTTTCATATATGGCGTCGCGTCTGATAAAAATAATAGTACATGGTCGTGCTGTATTCCATTTGACCATAATTTGCTCATAGATTTGTCGAAAACTTTACTAAATGTAAAAAAATTAGTTTTTTCTAATTGTTCCGAGTGGAGTAAAAATATGGATCCAGAATGTTCAATATCCAGAGTACCGATGATGACATTAGCAATAAAGCGCCCTTCGACGTCCTTGGGTTCATCGATACTCACCCAGATGCGGTTATTAGATACTTTATTTCTAATTTTTTCGATAATTTCATTGTAGATATCCTCAACGTATAATTTTCTCAGTGTTGATTCATCTGGAATTGGATTTTTAGTATACTTTTCTAAAAATTGTCGAAACTTTACTTTGGATAACTTGTTTAGTGGTATATTTGTAGAAATAAGAGTCTTGCAAAGGTCGATACCGTAAAATGGGGTTAATAGAGTCATTTTTAAAGGTTTTTGGACATAAACTCCTACAGTTTTTGACATAAATCAATTTTTTTTTTTTCTTCAAGTTAACTCGATTACAAACAGAATCCAACTATAAAATCGTTTACACTTCCACTTCGTTATCTTGTATATATTTTTAAAACTGTGGCCCTATTTAAACTGGTTAGGGGATAATAGGGTCACGTATTAAAATTCCATAGTAAACCCTAGTATAACCTAATAACAACAAATAGGGTTAGCTGGAAATTAACATAAATTGATAAAGCATTTAAATTTGAATATTTACCCTAACATTTTGGGACAATTAGTGAACTGCGCAAGAAATCTTATCACTTATTAATGGAATCAACACAAAAATAAAACAAATTTTTTTTATAAAGACTGTTTTAGTTTTATTTTTTTTGTAAACAATACAAAACAAAATAATATTAAATAGAATTCCATCAAAATGATGAATGCAACAAAATAAAATAAAATATAAACTTTCTCGTTATAAATATAAAAAAATTGATTACAGTTATTCAACACTTAACTTAAAGGTATTTGGTTTTTTAATGAAGTCTTTTTAATTTCATTAATATCTTGAGAGAATTTCAGTCTTCCTCTTCTTAAAATATCTGGTTCTGGTATAACTCTTATAACTTCTTCTAGCTTAAAATTGCAAAAATCAATAATGTCTGGGAAGACTTGAATGTTACCAGTATGTTCACCAGTAACATTGTTGCTTGGTCGGGTAAATGAACCTTCATAAAGTAATCCTTCTTTAATAATTTTAGTAACCTTTGCAAAATACAATTTTGGAATTTTTTTTCCGAAATTTACAATAACCCAAGTTCCTTCTTTAATGCTGGAGCTTGAATGGACTTCTTGCTGAAATGATTCGTTTAATCTTGCTGGTTTTTTTCAGATTTTTTATCAGAAATTTTCTGATACTAAATTTTCTGCAGACCCATTGTTTTCTTGTGGTAACATATCCAACACCTTATTTTTGTTTAAAGGAAATAATCCGGTTTTTTCAAACCCGGCTCTAATATTATCGCCATTTTTATCTGAAATTTTTTCAATAGTTTCTTTAAGTAATGATGGAAAACAGTCTTTATTTATAGTTGAAGCTTTTTTTCCTCTGGCAGTTGATGTTTTCCAATTATCAAGGACTTTTCTCCAGGCTCCTTTCAGCGGCCGGAAAAAAGCAACATCTAATGGTTGGGTTAGGTGTGTGGAGTTGGGTGGCAAAAAAACAAAATCAATTGAATATTGTTCACATAAATTTAACACCTGAGGTGATAAATGAGAACTTAAATTATCGCCTATGATAATTTTTTTACCCTGTAATCTTCTGAAAAAATGGAATTACTATTTTGCTAAACCACTCAGTGAAGCAACATCCATCAATCCACCCTGATGGTGTTCTGTTATATCTTGTGCCTATAGGGCCACCTTCAGTCCATGTGTCATACAATTGTAGTGATTTATAGATTACAAAGGGGGGTAGAAGTTTTCCATCTGCAGCAGCAGCAAACATCACCGTTGTTGAACATTTAGTTTGGTTCATTATCCTTTCTGGGTACTTAGTACCTCGTTTACAAATAATCTTTTTTCTTCCAGGGTCATCACTTAAATTTGTTTCATCATAATTTATGATATTGCTTGGAGGAACGCCTTCTACAGTTTTGCTAAAATTGTAAAAAAAGCTGTTAATATCAGCTCTACTAACTGCAGCTCTACTTCGCTTGATGTTTTGACACATTCTTAAAGTCAAACTATTTTTGTGCCTTTTTAAAAAAGATTTTGCCCAGTCTGGACCAGGTCTGTTATCTTTGAACTTTTTTACAGTACATCCAAGTTGATCCAGGTGGAACTTTACAAACATTCTAATTTCTAGCTCACAAATTGGATAACCCCATTTTATAATATTGGCTACTAATGAATTCTCAACTGTTGGCAACAGACACGGTTGACTTCCAAATTTTCTTATAACAAAATCTTTATTAATTTTTTTTTTATTATTATATCTTTACAGACAACTGTAGGGAATATCTGAACTTTTTGCAACCGATCTTATAGAATGTCCTTTTGATATTAATGATAAGGCCTCATGTATTAATTTAGGATCATGCAATCTATGTCTTTTACTTCTAGGATCAGGTACATAATTACGAGGCATATCTAAAGAATAAATATTGTATAATTAGTTAAAAATTTGTGTGATGTAAAAATCTAGGTGACCCCAATCACCCCATTTCACAGCCACATTNTGGAGTCACCTAGATTTTTACATCACACAAATTTTTTAATATATTTTAGCTTATAAAAAAAAAAATAAATAATGAGTTGTTTTAATTTTAAGTACTTAGTTCCGAAGTATATTTTTAAAAGTAAAAATAATATAGTTAAACGTTTTACTTACTTTTATTGGTGATTTTTTGACTAAGTTTTCCCGACTATGAAAAATCAAACAAATTTTGTCATATTTTAAATCTTATCAAATGATAACAAAAATAAAGCCGAAACACTTTTTAGTGGTACCATTGAAATACCTGGTATGCGTTAACTCCAAAGACATACTATCTCTAATGTTTCGATAAATATTGTGGCTGTTATCATTGATCAATGAAAAATTCTCTTATGTTGACCCGATTCAACCCCGAGACCCGTTTCACCCCATTTTACGACAATTTATTTCAACTTTTTTGTTATAAAAATTTAAGTAAACTAATCTTATAAACAGTATTTCTTTTTTTTTATTTAAAAGACAGTAAATCGAGAAAAAAAATACCACTAGTATTAAAATACTAAAACACAGTACGACTATTTTTGGTTTCGACATGTATCAGCAAATTGGGAGAAGATCTAAAATGAAAAAAGAATGATAATTTTATAACAGTTTTAATGATAAAAATTATAATCGGTTTGAATAAATAATAAGACACGTGAAATTAAAAAAATATCACATTATCTGTGGGTTTTTCAAGTTTTTCTCGTTATGTAATCGTTTAAACTAAAAATAAACTGCATCAAAGAACTCCCAGTAAAATTTCAATACAAATTGATGGGTTACACTAAAGTGAAATTTTTTTCCAACTTTGAACCCAAAGTTCGGGAGAGGGCACGAAAGTTACAAAAAATCGAGTGACCACTCAATTTGTATGAGAATTTCGTGGGAAATATCATTGTGATGTTTATTTTTTATTAAAATAAAATTTAAAGTGGGAGAATCGGAAAACCCCCAATTTTGGAGATAAGAAATTTTAGTTTTCGATTTCGCTATATTTAGATCTTCCTGAATATCATCCTACTACTCGTGACATAGCATTTACTAACAGCCTGTATAAATAAAATTGATATAGCATAGAAAGTGAAACTTATTTAAATTTATTTGCTTTTTTGAAGTTGAGTTTTTTGAAAACTTTGAAATTTGAACTAGCTTAAATAGCAATTCTTTTCAGTACACATTAGCTACGTATGGTTACTAAATCAATTAAACTTGTGTTTTACGCTCTAGGGGTACAAGGTTCCAATCCGTATATGGCAATGAAATTTTTGCATTTTTTCTTAATTCTTTTTAAGTTAGAATGAATTTTCAACTCATTTGATTTTTACCTCATTTAGATTCAATAACTTTAATAAAGATCAAGGATCCTATCACTGTGGTCGTCAATCGCAAGAAGAAATTTCTTATTCATATTAAAATTATTTTACTATATTTTAAGTTTTAGCTTTGATGTAAATTGTAAAACAATTCGTTAATTTTTCCAATGAAATCGTTTTCCTTATTTTCGTGGTTCAATGATGTCCTTTTAGAGCTTTTGTTCAAATTTCTCCATTCTGAAATACAGTGACTCTAATTTTTCGATGCTTCTTTGAAATTTTCTGACTGGTATTCTTGCTTTTTCCCAGAATACTTCAACTTCTTTAATAACCAAATAAGCACTGGTTTGCAAGTTTAATTTTACTTTCCTCATATTGTAAAAATGTACCCTTAATACTTGAATATTTGATAGCAACTTTGATCTGACAATTTGATTTCTATCATAATAAATTAAGTAAATTTTGTCACTTGATCTGGTGTTCATTATTAAAAAAATTACAAAATAAAAAAAACTCTAACAGATTTAGAACTAAAACTTGAAATAGCAATTGCAATAAAATTGTATAAGAGATATCACAATAACAGTAAAATAGTGTTATCGTAATAATCGCAACGATTTCAACGTATTCTTTAGTTCAGTATATGATGACAGAACAAAGTCCACATTTTATACAAAAATCTTGATGTAAAAAAATTCCCAAACCAGATTAAAATCATAATGTTAGTGATTGATTTTAAAACCACTTTTGCGCTGTACAATGTACATTAGGGTGCCCCATATTTTTGAAGTCCAAAAATTTGAGAAGTGCCGCCCGGGAATTTGTTCCTATAGGTCTAAGTATAATATCTGCAAAATTTGAGCTTCATATAACATGATTAACAGGGCGCGCTCTAAGCTCAAAGTTTTAGGAAAATTCAAATTTTTGCATTTTTTTAAATTTTTTTGCTAAGTTTTTGATCTTACGGGAAAATGATAATGAGCTTTTTTGTAGACCTAGTTATTTACTACAATTAATGTTTCTAGTAATTTTTCATAAAGTCCGCGGTTTCTCGTGAAAATTAAAAAAAACTATTTATAACTTACATTTTACGAAAATTGCTCATTTTTTTGTTTTTGTCAATATCTATACAAAAATCAATCGTACAAAAAAAGAACATATTATTAATGTTGTAGTAAATCATTTTTACTAAAAAATATATTATCATGCAAATTTTCATTAAGTAAACCCTTTTGGGTTAAATTAGGAAAACAAATAAAAATAACTGATTTTTTGTACAATACTAGAACAAAAGTTAGAAAGAGAAGTGTTGTACTTTGGATGTCGACATCACGTTTTCGAAATTATCCTAGCAGCAGTTTTTACTAAATGTAAATTAAAAGTATCAGGACCAGACATACCTTTGTTCAAAAGGTTTAAAGGTAATTGGTCAGAAATAAATACTGAAAATTTTGTTCCAGGCATAAGTAGTCCAAAAATACAAAAAATCTTTAAAAATAAAAATGAAATTTTAACGTCACTCACAACTGCCATTTCAAAAACAATGCCCCGTGATGACTACCGCGAGCTTTTAGACCTATCAATCATTTATCTTGGTGGTGTGCCTCCAGGTGGAATACGTTTTAGGAAACCGGGAGCATATCACATGGCTAGGTGGATGGCAAAAGCCATATACGCTTTAAAAATTTACATATTTCGAACTGAATTCAAATTAACAAAATTAAAAGAAGAATCAATGTTTCAAATTACGTCCTTTGTTGTCAGATGTTACGTTGTTCATTGAATTTATGCTGTTGATGCCATATCTGCTCCATTAAATGATATCCAG